CTTGCGAAAAGTGCTGCAATTGTCGATGAAAACTCGTCCTGACAGCCACAAAAACGTGGTGTCAAATACGACACCTGCGCCTATTACTACTACTACTACTACTACTACTCCTGCTGCTACTACTCCTGCTGCTACTACAACAGTTACTGCTACTGCTGCTACTACTACTACTACTACTACGACGACGACTACTACTGCGACTAGCGCTGAATGCCGCTGTTGGAGTAGTTGTTGCATATTCAGCTCATATTTTCTTCGGAGCAGGCGCGCTGGCCGGCCAAGCATCTTGGTCTCGCGTCCTGTCTGAAATTCTGCAGTCAAAGCTGCGCACCTCGGACATGTCCTCTCACATCGTACACTATTGTCGTCTCACCTCCACCTCTCGTAGGTTTAAGCGTTTTAGAACTTCGGGAGTACAGCCGGCAGATTGACAGAGGCGAAACTCACTTGTGATCCAGTGCTTCAATCTGCATCGATTAAAAGATCCAAGTCTACTAGCAAGAGAAGTGGCGTTTGCAGTGGCACCAGGTGTTCATCGATGGAGCACACGATTTTCGCTCCGTAGCCGCAGATATCCAACACTGGGCACCGCGGGTGCGACCTGGAGGTGGGGTTCGGGGTAAGAGCAACCTGATCTTCGACCCGCATGGCACTGCACCAGATTTCAATCACCAACCGTAATCTATAGAGTCTATCGAGAGTTATAGAGCCATATAAAGTCAGCAGGAGCTCGCACGAGAGAACGTTTGCGATGTGCCACGTGCTAGCAGCCTTGCTGCGGGAGGTGTGGTTTCTGGCCACGACTACAGATCCCAGTCGGCACGAGTTACTGTTCCCTTGTTCTTCGAACCTTCTTTTTGCCAGATCATTCGCATCAGCTCCAGAGACCTGTTGCGGCACCAATTTCAACCTGTGGGCTCAGGGATGAGACTGAAGTCCGGCGCAGCCTAGGACTTGGCGAGGCTTTCAATGTCGTCCGAGCTGTCCACAGGTCCAAGGGACTCGGGAGGATAAATCAGCGCGGATCAAGAGTCTTCAAGGGGGTGATCAAGAGCTTAGGCGCAGATCTTTCGGAGCGTACGCGCCCGCACATTTAGGCGAGGCCTCAAAGTACTTCAGGAACTGCTGCCGCTGCTCAGACTTTTCCAGGTTTCTTCCGGCAAACCGACACCTTCAGCTCGGTCCAGATGGAGTGTGGTGGTGGATCGTTTAAGCTGGAAAAGTTCCAGAGCTGTTGCATCTTGAGTCACGCGGATGGATGCCCTGGCATGAGTGCATCTCCGACACAAGTCAAGGGAGCATCCCCTATTGCCGTTAGCATCTACCGCGACAGGCTCCCATAGCTGAAAGTAACTGCAAGCAAACAGCAGCAACGAAGGTGACCAAGAAGTTCCAATCCACACATGCACTTACGTACGAGCCCAGAAGTAGGCCACGAGCGCACCAAGCTGACACAGCATACAGAGCATGCTTTCAGGATGCGAGATGCAGAGTAAAGCTTCCCTAATTGCTACGCGCTGACGGCCGAAAACTGAATCCTCCAAAGCAGCAATGCGGCATTGGCCGGTGGCAGCACTGCCGGATGGATTCCGTGAGAGATATTCTGAGCGCCTGCGACAGCGACCATCTTCTCCCTCCTCAGACGATCGATCGAAGCTTCCGAAACAGCACGTTGGCTCCTGGCTTGCAGTGAGTAGCAACGACCTCGGCCCCCTCAAACCTCGGCCGGCAGTTGCCTACTGGAGCTCAGAGTTTGGGAAACAGTTGAACTCAGGCTTGCTAGTCTGAAGGGACAAGACAGCCCCATGTACAGCTTTGCTCACGATTCAAGAGATCCTCCAACGGGCAGCTGCCCAAATGTTCCCCTTGATGTCCTAAGTTGAATCCACGATCGGAGTTTGCTCGGGTACGCGGTGTGAGGAGCTGGCGACTCGTTTTGATACGACATAAGGGCATGACAAGACCGATTTCCCACACCCCATCTCATTTTGACGTGCTGGGGCTTCTCTTGAAACACTGAGAATTCTGAGGCTCTGTTAGAGGCCATGGAGTCGGCGGGGCAAGGGCCGAAGCCCGGCTCCGTCAGCAGCCTCGTGCTCTGGGTTGCTTTGCAGTGGGACAGCGCTCCGGCAGAAAAAGTGCATATCCCTTTTAGCTTTTTGTTCATTGTATATAAGATGCTCCTCTGGCTTTGGACCTTGTGTCTCCAGCGAGGTTCCATGGTGAGCCTCTTCATCCTCACGTCGCAGATGGCCATGATGTGCTTCTCCGAAATGTATGGCTGGGTCGCTCGGCTTGTCTTGCCGTCTTTGGCTTCCGACAACGGGCCGAAGCTGTCCACTCGCAAAGGCGGCCTTCCTCACGGGCTGCCAGCACGTCGTGAAGCTCATCCGTCGCCTCAAAAAACATCAGAATCAGCAGCTTTGGAAAGCTCTTGGAGCTCTGATGCCCAGGTCACCTCGCCGCCGAGGTTCCTGGGCGCATGAGAGACCCTGGGGGATGGCCAGAGGAAAGCATTCCAACTTGGGTTGAGGCTGCCACAGAGACGCTCTATTCGCAAGAAGCCTTCATTGCCAAGACCCCCCCATCCCCCGTCCCTCGACGACGCTCCTTGCCTCAGGAGGGCCATCGAGGTCATGCTGTCATCGCTGTGGAGCCTCTCCTCATCTCTTTGCATCCATTTGCCAGCCGCCTAATGCATGGGACGCGGTCTTTGTGCGTTGAGAACTGCTCTACCTGGTGCGAGGGTTCTTGATATTGCTTCAAACTCAAGGAGCTTGCAGCACTGGGTTAGCACTTGCCTGTCTTTGGCACGTTTGGGGCGCACATAGAACATAGAGAGCGTGCGTGCATGGGGCACCCCTGATGGCCTGATGATGGGTAATATGTGACACAAAATCATCCAAGTAAAAGATGTATGTGTTTCGAAAACGCTTCCAAAGGTTCGAAGCCCTCGTTGTAACAAGCAGTTGACGCGTGACAACCAGTTGCGACATCCCTCTCCGGTATTTAGGGATCGACGTTCACCTTGGCATCAAAGCACGGACGAAAACGGAAGCCAGCCAGTTTGAAGCCGAGGCATGTCACTGCCAGCGTTGTCCCCCCAGGTGTCTCGCTAAGCCGCAAAGCCTGGGTAAGGGTAACATTTCCAACTCTCTCGTCCAAGGCCAAATCCCTATTCTGCTGCCGATCGCAGTGCCTGCAGTGCTGCGTGGTCGTGCCGTGCTTGAAGGGATTGCGCCCCAATGGTCGACGGCATCCGTTGACATTGTAATTGGCAGCGCCAGCACTGAAACAGGAATCCCTTCCTTTTTTTGTTGATGATTCGTGAAAGACGCAACAGTCTTCCCAAGTATTCACCAGACGAAATGCCAGCGCAGAGGGTACGGGACTCCTGGTTTTTGTCGCGCCAGATGGCATTAACAAGCAAAAGCTCTGAGTCCAACGTTCAAGAATTCTCCAGCCCAACCGTAGGTGCTGGACAATGCATCAGCGGATGGCGCAGATGACTGCGGCTACTTTGACAGACAATCCTCTGTTTGCTGCATGATGCTTTGCACGCTATGACCTTTGGCCGTTTGAGTATTCACGTAAAGCTTCTTGTGTCAAATCGTGTCCCACATGAATTATCTTCTGCACATTCCATGCAAGCCTTAGTCTTAGTGTGCCGGATTCATGACATGCGCCACCAGCCACTTCTACAACATGCTGCAGTAGTCCTTGCAAGTTGTGTTGGTCGCCACGGTGCGGAGCTTGTAAACCTTCGGGTAAATGCATTCAAAGAGCTGCGGTTTCGTAGTGAACCCGGAAGAACAGGCTCTTTTCTAGATGAGGTTCTTGGAGGGAGAGAGCCTGGTATGAGGCGGTCGAAGAGTTTGAGCCGCTCCCCAGGCTTTGACCACCTGGTCTTGGATCGCGCCTGAGAGCGCACAGCAGTTCCGCTTCTTTAGCCTTGCCGCAAGCCAACGTCGTGGATGCACACGCTTATACATAGACACCTATAGAGACGCGGACAGAGAGGGGAATGGCGCGACCGCAGCCCTTAAGCCTCTGAAGGTGCAACTGCAGCTGGAGATGGCTTTGCTTTGGACCTTGTCTCCGCCACCTGAGCCCAGCCTCAGCAATTAGCACCTTGCATGCCTTTGATCTAGCCGCTAGCCGCTGTGGAGGCCCCGGCCGTCGCTGCCAGATCTTCTCGTCGGCATGCAGCCAGGTCGGAGCTTGTCTTTGCAGTGCGACACGCTGCAGAAAAAGGTCCAGAACTGCACACCTGCAGCTCATGCCAGCTCCGGACAGAGTCGCTGTAGGGGAGCAGAAGGCTCACTAAGTTTAAGCCGGAGGCGGGCTAGATGGCCACGAAGACATTCAAGGCGCAGCTTTTAGACGCTCGGCTCCTGTTTTGACGCCTGAGTTTGGGGTTTGGGCTCAACACTGGTGGCCGGATGTGATGTAGGTTTCACGGAATTGGATCTACAGGCAACGCAACCATGAACACTGGTCAACGAACCCAGTGAGCAATTGCTATGAAGCGGTAGTCTGAAACTAGAGCGCTCTCATCCACTCGCTAGATTTTGACGGGCTGCTTGGTGATGCCATCAAGCAGACTTGCACAGAGTTGAGATCAGGTTGCCTGCTGCGACTGGCTTTCCCAAAGACCATGTTGTCCAAGATATACATGGCCCCTTGGCTGTCATGCAACTTTAATCTCGGAGCAGGGTTGCCTTGGTAAAGTTTTAAAGCCTCGAGTCTGCCAATCCGACATGGCGTTCCGCTGCTGGGTATCATTCCTTGGAGGAGGCAGCAATGCTTGGAAGGTTTTTGAAGCGACTCCCGTCCGAGAGTCGCACATTCTGGAGTTGCCCTTTTGTAGCTGAGGTGGAGGTGGGCGTCCACCAGGCCGCCCTTGCGGCCCGTCTCCTGCGAGAGCACCCACAGCTGCAGTATTTGGGATTCCCGGCGCAAAGGGAAGTTTTGTCTGCCGCAGAATCTCCTGTGTAGATAAGTGAACAAAACAGCTTTATGCGCGCAGCACGACATGCGTTTATGTTCTTTCCGAGAGTGAGTTGGCGGAGAGAAGAATGCAAGTTCAAGGAATTGATCCTTATCGTGGGTACTATGAGGGCAGGACCCACACTTGAGTAGTCACCACGCTTTCCAAGACAGGTCATTCTCTCTTGCCGGGCTCCACCTCAGTCCTTCCATTGCGCGCAGGAAGTCAGAGGAGGGCCCAAAACGCTACGGCGCTCCAGAACACTACCGCAGTTCCCTGCGAAGGCTCTCGCTTCTGATTGCCTCGTAAGGCTAAGACGGCTAAGCTTTACAGAAGAGATGGGCTGACAACACGCACTGGCACCGTATGAGTGTCTTGCGCCATTCTGGGGCGGCTCCGCACACTGCTGCAACTCAGGGGCATGGTAACCAGTTGAGACCATGCGATCTCCACATATCTCCACATACCGAAAACACCAGGCTGCCCCCCCCCCCCCCCCCCCCGAGACTTGTTCAGTCCATTTCGGTTCTTCTTCAGGCTGCGGCAATTTGGGCAGAGGGCGCACCTTTGCCGCAGCACCTCAATGCAAGCCAGCGACATGGCCGCATGTGGCGAGTGTAGTTTTGCACAGCTGCAAACTGTTGCAGCTGTGTTGCCGTGTCAGCATTTGGGCTTTCTGTCATGGCAGAACACATATCTTCGGCTTTTTGTGCGTCGAATGTCACTTCCAGACAAGCAGTAATTATGTATAGTCTATTTATTCATATTAGATCAAGTACAATATTACATACTGCATCATTCTACGTTTCATTTGGACCATTTTCGCGCTTGGAAGTCCGATAAGGCAAAGGCCCTTTGCACAGCTGTCGCTCCCGTTGGGCTGCCGCAAACTTGGATGCCGAGACTTGCATGCACTACACTACACGCTTCTGGGGCTGTAGCTTCTTCGTCGCGTCAGCTGTGCACACCAGAAAGTTGCAGATTTGGCCAGTGTGGTGCAGTGCTGCTGCCCAAGCATGTGCCCGACTCACTTTCGGTAGGATGGCCCTGCTGATGTGATATCGCCATTTAGAGGCATTGAATGCGTTCAGTCAAATCTCTTCCCTCGGGTTGCGCCTTTGAAGTCGATGGAGCTGCTAGCCCAGATGTATGCATGTAAGCAGGCAAGTCGCCCGTGAAAGTTCCAGGTGTTCATCGACGGGGAGCACGACTTCGCGTCCGTCGATCAAGACCTTCGGCTTTGGGCCCCTCGCGTTCGCCCAGGGGGCCTGGCTTCTCGGACCCCGAAGAAATCGCGCGGTCACTGTCACAGGCGTCCTGAAACTGCAGCTTCAGTGTTAGTTGCCGTTTCGGTTCCTTGTCTTGTGAGTGTGCTTGCTGCTGTAGTTCTGATGTGTGTCGGCTCGCACTCGCATGTTGCGCGTTCTGCTGATCATTTTGTGCTTAATTGCCACCTGAGTTATAGTACTGTAGAAGAATCACGACTGCCCGAAAGGTCTCGGGACTGTTTCAGGATAAGAACATATAGATGTGTTTGACTGACTACTGTTCATGGAGTCGTGTGCCGGACGTGAAGTCTCGTGCAGAGGTAGCTGGACATGACTACCGCCGCGTGGCATGCATTCAGATTTCCTCCAGGTCTGTGCGCTTGCCATGTGCAGTTGTCTTCTGATAAGCATTCAGCATTGCAGCGTGTTCTTATCAAGCTGTACAATATCGTGAGCGCTCACCTTGCTGCAGCAGCTTGGCTACTGCCGATGGTGTGCCTGTGCTTCTTGCAATTGGACAGTATGTAGCCGAAGGCTTGCCTCATGCTCTGGATCTGGTTGAAGCTGTTCACAGGTGGGGCAGGGGAGTGAAGCACGGCTGTCTGCTGCCTGGTTGTGTAAGATGTACACGGGAAGAAAACCACACGCCCTGCAATGCCCCAAGCACAGGCAACAAGGCTTGTCATCGCTTGTAGACGCAATGCTTAATTGTCCTGCAACTGCTTTTTCGGAAATGGGTTTGGACATTCTCTGTGCGTAGTGGGTCTTAACGGTACGGCAAAGGAGCGGAAGTGCGACCGCCATTTCTTCGCCTGTCCTGTTCTTGTGACCCTTGCATCCGCATTTCCTATCGTCCGTTTGCAGTTGTTCCCTTTTCATGCGCAGAGCTGCGCTTGTAGGCTTCCCGTGAATCTGCTCAGGCTGCATCCCTGCCTATCCAAGACATGTTGCAGGCATTTACCTCCTGGCCGGCAACTTCAAGTGGGTCCGGACGGTATTTGGTGGTGGATCGCTTGATGGCAAGGAACCAGAAAGAGCAAACTTCGCGCTAGGGGGCTGGGGGCTGATTCTTCAGATTTTGGGTTCAAGATACTGCATACTGGGACTTGGAGGCATTCCAAACAAAGGTGTAACTTCTTGACTGAGTAGTACCGAGATGCAGTTACATGAACACTGGGTTTTGTCTTTCTCTTCTGGTTACTTACACTTTTTGTGTCTGCATGAACTGTCAGTCGTTCAGCAAGCTTTGGAGCTACTCGTCTGAACATGTTCCTCCAGCTTGTCTATCAAGACTTGGTCGGCTTGAAGATGCGGCGCAGGTGCTCGAGAGATCCAGGCAGACCCGAAGGATCCGGCTGCCAAGAAAAAACAGCAAGCAGGCCCAGCGACTTCCTGACATTCCTGACCTCAAGAAGGGATGTGCCAAAAAACGCAGCGCAGGCCCAGAGGTCCCCAAAGACACGAAGGAGTCGACTGCCAGGAGGAAGCAGCCAACAGGCCAGCCCAGCTTCAACATGTGTATCCGGGAGCGCGATAACTCATGTTGCACGTGAAGAAGTCGGAAGGGTAAGTGCCATGTGCTTGGTTTAAGTAGTTTAATTCTAAGTCTAAGTTATAGCGCAAGCTCTCATAGTGGAGGTTTCATTTTTCGTAGTGCTGCAGGCCGAAGTCTTTGGGAGTAGGAACTCGCGATCTCCTGTTGGGCCTACTGCGCCACGCAGGTGGATTCGCCCGACCTGCGGAGCCACCGCGACAGGACTTGGACTCTGCAGGCTACGACGGAGCAACAGCAAGACTGCCTGTGGTTACGTCCACGGGCTCAGGTTTTAAACTTAGATGGGATTAACTTGGCTCGTGGTGATGATGCTACCGCTACCTTCATCTGGGGACAAGTGCCAGGTCAGACTGAGCCATCTGATGTGCACGAGTTGGCTGAGCGCCCGGCACCACAGTTCTTCCAACTCTCACGCCCCACCCCTGTTCCCTCCCTCCCTCCCCCTTCCCTCCCCTCCCCTCCCCCTTCCCCCCCTTGCCCCAGCCCTCTCCCCCAAGCTTCACGCAGTCCAGCCTGAGGTTTGCTCGACTCAGACTCTGCTTGGCGAGCCGAGAGGCCTCAGAACGAGCCTTTCTCAGTCATTTCGGATGGTGAGGTTCTGATATCAGGAGGATTGCGAGACACCTTGCAAGGCTGATCATCACCTCTCCATCTTTACACATGTAAACAGTCAGATGCAGCGCAACTCCTACACAGCTTCATTGCTCAATGCCTTCGTCCTGGCAGGGAACTGAACAAGCTTGCGCCAGATCAACTCCAGAAGATATGCCTTTCTCTACGACGCCGGGCCACGCAGGTGGGTGGAGGAGTCTCTGATGTCAGAGTGCTGAAGCTCGCATTCCCTTTGACCTGAGGGTCCAACAGTCCAACAGTGCATCTGCCCAGGGTCCGGCTTTAGTTCTGGCGTTTTCTTGCATCAAGGGCCTGCATGCACGCTCAGGCGTGCGCCAACTGCTTTGATTTCATGGTGAGTGGAATCAACGGAGCAAGCATGTTGGGACATGCAGGGCACGTGGACTCCGAATGACCCTTGACATCCTTTGACAGAGACTGTCTGTAGAGGCCTTCTCCATCAGTGACGTTCGAGCTTCACTCCTGAACGAGGTGCACAGTATCTAAGACTAGTTATGCAGCATTCCTCTTGCTTTGGCTCGCTGACAATCCGCTGATGATGATGTGTTGTTCCTGTGGTATGTTTCTTTTTCCAATCAACGAGTTGTTACTGTTGTACGGACATGCTATGATGTCAAGCAATTGTCCACCCTAAGCTGTTGAGTAAGCGGAAGGGAGCGGGATATGGGAGGCCGAAGAAGGTACAGTGTTTGATGAGAGATGTTCCGCCGAAAACCCAGCACCAGCGCCACAGAGGCTCTCGGGTCCCGCCCCCCCCCCCCCCCCCCCCCCCCC